TTGAGTATTTTTGCATCGATGTTCATAAGGGAGATTGGTCTGAAGTTCTCTTTCTTTGTTGGGTCCTTGTGGGGTTTGGGAATGAGTGTAATTGTAGCTTCATAGAACGAATTGGGTAGTGTTCCTTCTGTCTCTATTTTGTGGAATAGTTTGAAGAGAATTGGTATTAGGTCTTCCTTGAAGGTCTGATAGAATTCAGCACTAAAACCATCTGGTCCTGGGCTTTTTTTAGTGGGGAGACTTTTAATGACTGCTGCTATTTCCTGAGGGGTTATGGGACTATTTAGATGGTTTATCTGCTCCTGGTTTAATTTTGGTACCTGGTATCTGTCTAGGAAATTGTCCATTTCATCCAGGTTTTCCAGTTTTGTTGAGTACAGGCCTTTGTAGTAGGATCTGATGATTTTTTTAATTTCTTCCATTTCTGTTGTTATGTCTCCCTTTTCAGTTCTGATTTTATTAATTTGGATACTGTCTCTGTGCCCTCTGGTTAATCTGGCTAAGGGTTTATCTATCTTGTTGATTTTCTCAAAGAACCAACTCCTGGTTTTATTGATATTTTGTATTGTTCTTTCAGTTTCTATTTGGTTGATTTCAGCCCTGAGTTTGATTATTTCCTGCCTTCTACTCCTCCTGGGTGTATTTGCTTCTTTTTGTTCTAGGGCTTTTAGTTGTGCAGTCAACTTGTTAGTGTGTGCTCTTTCCAGTTTCTTTTTGTAGGCACTTAGAGCTATGAGTTTTCCTCTTAGCACTGCCTTCATGGAGTCCCACAAGTTTTGGTATGATGTGTCCTCATTTTCATTGAAATCTAAAAAGTCTTTAATTTCTTTCTTTATTTCTTCCTTGACCAAGTCATCATTGAGTAGAGAGTTGTTCAGTTTCCATGTGCACATGGGTTTTCCATTGGTTTTGTCATTATTAAAGACCAGTCTTATTCCATGGTGATCTGATAAGAGGCAAGGGATTATTTCAATCTTTTTGTATCTGTAGAGGCTTGTTTTGTGACCAATTATATGGTCTATTTTGGAGAAGGTACCATGAGGTGCTGAGAAAAAGGTATATTCTTTTGTTTTAGGATGAAATGTTCTATAGATGTCTGTTAAGTCCATTCGGTTCATAACTTCTGTTAATGTCAAAGTGTCTCGGTTTAGTTTCTGTTTCCATGATCTGTCCATTGCTGACAGTGGGGTGTTGAAATCCCCCACTATTATTGTGTGAGGTGTAATGTGTGTTTTGAGCTTTAGTAAAGTTTCTTTTATGTATGTAGGTGCCCTTGCATTTGGGGCATAGATGTTCAGAATTGAGAGTTCACCTTGGTAGCTTTTTCCTTTGATGAGTATGAAGTGTCCTTCCTTATCTTTTTTGATTAATTTTGGATGAAAGTCGATTTTATTTGATATTAGAATGGCTACTCCAGCTTGTTTCTTGGGACCATTGGCTTGGAAAACTGTTTTCCACCCTTTTATTCTGAGGTAGTGTCTGTCTTTGTCACTGAGGTGTGTTTCTTGTATGCGGCAAAATTCTGGGTCTTGTTTGTGTATCCAGTCTGCTAGTCTGCGTCTTTTTATTGGGGAATTGAGACCATTGATGTTAAGAGATATTAAGGAAAAATGATTGTGGCTTCCTGTTATTTTTGTTATTAGAGGTAAAGTTATGTTTGTATAGTTATCTTCTTTTGGGGTTGTTGGAAGATTACTTCCTTGCTTTTTCTAGGTTGTAGTTTCCCTCCTTGTGTTGGCGTTTTCCATCCATTATCCTTTGAAGTGCTGGGTTTGTGGGAAGATATTGTGCAAATTTGGTTTTGTCATGGAATATCTTGGTTTCACCATCTATATTGATTGAGAGTTTTGCTGGGTATAGTAATCTGGGCTGGCAATTGTGTTCTCTTAGGGTCTGTATGATGTCCGTCCAGGCTCTTCTGGCTTTTATAGTCTCTGGTGAGAAGTCTGGTGTACTTCTTATAGGTCTGCCTTTATATGTTACTTGACCTTTTTCCCTTACTGCTTTTAGTATTTTTTCTTTGTTTTGTGCATCTGATGTTTTGATTATTATGTGACGGGAGGTATTTCTTTTCTGGTCTAGTCTATTTGGTGTTCTGTAGGCTTCTTGTATGTTTATGGGCATCTTGTTCTTTAGGTTAGGGAAATTTTCCTCAATGATTTTGTTGAAGATATTTACTGGCCCTTTAAGTTGGGAATCTTCATTCTCATCTATACCTATTATCCTTAGGTTTGGTCTTCTCATTGTGTCCTGGATTTCCTGGATGTTTTGAGTTAGGAGTTTTTTGCTTTTTTCATTTTCTTTGACAACTGTGTCAATATTTTCCACCGTATCTTCTGCATTTGAGATTCTCTCTTCTATCTCTTGTATTCGGTTGGTGATGCTTGCGTCTGTGACTCCTGATCTCTTTCTTAGGTTTTCTATCTCCATGGTTGTCTCCCTTTGAACTTTCTTTATTGTTTCTATTTCCAGTTTCAGATCCTGAATGTTTTTGTTTAATTCCTTCTTTGTGTTTTCTTGCATTTCTTTAAGGGATTTCTGTGATTCCTCTTTAAGGGCTTCTATCTGTTTACTTGTACTCTCCTGTATTTCTTTAAGGGAGTTACTTAATTCCTTCTTATAATCCTCTATCATCATCATGAGAAGTGATTTTAATTCTGAATCCTGCTTTTCAGGTGTGAAGGGGTGTTCAGGGCTTGCTATATTGGGAGAACTGGGCACTGATGATGCCAAGAAACTTTGGTTTCTGTTGCTTATGTTCTTGTGCTTGCCTTTCGCCATCTGGGTAACTCTAGTGGTACCTGCCCTCTCTGTGTAAGATTGGAATCTGTATTTCCAGTTATCTTGCTTATTGCAGAGCTCCTCGGAGTCCAGAGGTCTCTGTGGTCTTATGCCCCTAATCTCCCGGGTGGAAGAACTCCTGGGACTCAGGCCACCTCTTGGATCTGGTAATCCTTCTGTTCTGAGTGCAGTGGCTCCTCGGCTGCTCTGAGTGCAGTGGGTTCTCAATGACTCAGGATTCAGTTTCAGCTGCTCTGAGTGCAGTGGCTCCAGCTGCTCTGAGTGCAGTGGGTCCCTGATGACTCAGAATTCAGTTTCAGCTGCTCTGAGTGTAGTGGCTCCAGCTGCTCTGAGTGCTGTGGCTCCTGGATGACTCAGGATTCAGTTTCTCCACAGGACAGGAGCAGACCGACTCTGTGTCTGCTCCAGTCCAAGGGACCAGGCAGGGGCCGAAGGGAGGTGGAATTCCGGAGGGGCGGGGTTTGGGTAGCTGCTGTGCCCAGGATGTCCCTGGCTCCCAGATGTATTTCTGGGGCTTAGGGAGTGAGATGGAGTTCTTACCAGCTGCTCTGAGTGCAGTGGCTCCTGGATGACTCAGGATT